ATATTGATAATAGTTATATTATATGAAAAAATAATTGAGGAGAATTTCTCTATTATTTTTCTTGGAATATCAGCCTTACGTTACGTTAACTACCAGCTGGCTTTATTATGATTCATCTTGCTACTACAACGCGAGTACTCAAATCTCAAAGATGGAAAATATAGATTTTAAGAATGAAACATTGTCAAATAAAAACTTGTAATACTATTAATCAAGTTAGTCAGGGAGGCAGATTAAGTCATATGCAATTTGTTCCACTTACAACTCCAATGAAAACTGCATCAAAAATTGAATTTATATAGCCACATTTTAATACATTTTCAGCACATTGATAGATAAACACAATCAAAGTCTAGTTTAAAATATATAAATCTTTAATTTTTAAAGCTCCAATTGTATTATTATTTGATAAACTTTTGCATAAATGCTAGAGCTAATTGTGGACGGATTTTAATTAAGCTGGGATGTAAAGTAATAAAGTAATATACAAATTGCGGAGATTCAAATTAGATATTCATGCCGAGCACTTAGTTGAAAAGCTGACGCATGAACCAGATGCCCAAGATGGCGCTGAGAAGGGAGCCAGTGCCAACGAGACCCATGGCGCCGTTATGTTGGGCACAGATGCGGGGCTGGGGCGCCGACACATATTTGCAGAGCGTGCCGGCAAAGTTGACCTGGGCACGCTCATTGACTTTCTTGTCGAATTGCTGCGATAGGTCAAGGGAGAATCAATTTTAGTCACTGATAAGATTGGGGAGCCTGCGGCTAGCTAGGGCCTACCTCATTGAACAGGATGGTGGGCACACTGGTCAGCGGCTCCTTTAGGCGCTGCGTGGTCTCGCCAGCCTTGCGCAGCAGGATGCTGCCATCGGTGGTGTTGGCACAGGTCTTGATGTTCTCCCAGTTGTTGACATGGTTTTCCGTAGCGCAACGCTGGCCGGGGTACACGTTGTCGGGGAAGTTCTTGCCGGCGCGCATCAGGCAGTTGATAAAGTCAAGCGTTAGCGATTCGCGGGTGTACTCCACCTGATACGAATTGGCCTGAATGTGCTCAATGGCGCAGGCATGCACCTTGTTGCCGTAGCACTCGTTGGGGCCGTGGTGGCAGGTGAAGGTCACCTCCGAGCCTTGTGTGAAAAACTGCGTGGGAAATGCAAATGGAGAATGAAGAGTTTCAGTTAGTTAGTGTGCCCGTGTGACAAATGAGGCATTGTTCCATTGACTAACTCACCTGGGATTTGCCAAAGGGCACAAATGTCAGTTCGACGAAGTCACGCAGCTCGGTCTTCATCGCCGGATACAGTTGCTCCGTAATAAACTTGGCGCTGTCCGGGCACAGGGACTCATAGTAAATGGCTACGGGCACCTGGTAAACAATGCAATACAAGTGTGAGTCAGGTGTATGCCTGTGTGTGTGGGTGTGTGTATGGGTGTGTCGTATTATGCACATGCTTCATAATGTGATGTCCATATTTTGTGCCTGCCAATTTGCATTTCTACTGCAAATGCAAAACAGTTTCGTTTGACTGAGCATGGCCAAAAATTGAATTTTGTGACTCGAACAAAAGCAAACAATGGCTTCAGGGTATGAACCAAAAAAGAACTAGGCTTCATTTGCTCTCTACGAAAGAGTATATCATAAATGGCTAACTTTATAGTCTTTATATTTCCAAAATAAATTGTTCTATAAACTTTAATCACACTAAATTAAGCTACGTTTAAGATTATCGCGTTGCCAGACTGCTAAAAATATCTCGTGATTATACTATATACATATATGTACATACATATGTATATATGTATACATGTCATGTGCAAAAAATGATAATTTGATTTAAATAATTTGTTAATTATCAATCGACCTTTAAAAAAATATAACTATGCATATGAAAATAATGGATCTAATGCTAAACAAAATTTAGTTATATAATTTTTATTTACTTATCTACCAGCAAATATATGTAAATATGTATATATAAAAATATAAATAAAATGAAGTTTAAGTCTGGGCAC